GCCATTGCTCTAGATAAAGAAAAGTCTATAATATTTTGCATGATTTTTTTCCTTAAGAACAATGGCTTTTAAAATAGTGCATGCAAAGGCAATCTATTAAAAGAATTAATTGTATAATTAATTCATTGTATAATTGTCACGATAGTATTTTTGTGCAGTTTTTGTTGATTTCATTCTATAAAGGTATGAAGTTTGTCAATACTTCAACAAACATTTCTTTATCTATGTTGTACACTACTTTATTTTTATTCGCCGACATGCTACTCTTTAAAAAAAAAAAATAAAACTTGCGTGACTAATAGACTCGATCTTCAGGCCTGTATAGGAAAGTAATTTCAGTTAGAGTAATAAACTAAACGGGATTTTAATTTTACTAGCATACCTTACCAGATTTCTTAACGAAAAAAAAAAAAAACATTGAAAGAAATACAGGGCAGGACCAGCTAAAGCTGCATGCATAAGTACAGCCCTGCACATCAACGAGTATAGATGACTTTCGACAAATCTTTCCCATGACTTCACTTATACCAATCACGACTAAAATACTATATCAAAATACTGTTATATTTTCCTGCCTTTGATTAGATGTTAGTTTTGTTCCACCTAGAGATATAACTCTTCTTGATATAACTCTCCTAAGAAAAAGGTTTTCAACATTCTGATTGATTTAACAATTTTACGTGTTGAAATGATGTGGGAAATTTTTTTAGCTAAAGGCCAAGGAGTTTAAAGTACAATGTACATGTAGCTATTAGAGAAAAGTCTAGCAGGTCCACCAGTAATATTGATAGCAGGCTCAAAATCTAATTAAACCCCGAAAAGGAGGGAGTTCAATTTGTAATTTAATCCCCCCCCCCCCCAAAAAAAAAAACAACAATTTATTAGCAATGAATTATTAAACACCGAACTTTTCAATCATCACTATTGAAATAAAAAAAAGAAAACTGTTCTTGATAATCATATTATAATTGTAGCTCATTTTCATGCCTTTTAGGATTCCTGTGGAAAGTTCACAATAAAAAAATGTGCTTTTAAAAATTTAACATCTTTTGGTGATTATAAATTCATAATCATACATGTAACAGTTAAAAGAAGCGGAGAGAGAGGGGGGGGGGGTACTTTCAGCAAGGACGGCCACTACCAACAACCAAGCCCCGAAACCCATATCCCGAAGGCAAATAAGTTGAGGTGTCAAGAACAATTTTTTTTCTGCTCTTGCCTCATGTATTTAACCGCTATTTTTCTAAATATACTAGGTCTACACATCATATCTGCAAAAAATATTTAGGAGCCCCTCTTTTAATCCATGAAAAGGGGAAAACTTAATTAAATTCTAATATAAGATCTCTTAATCACACTTAATCATAACAGTGAATGTAAACAATTTATATTTCCCATCCTGCATCGCTCTGTAGGCGCTTTATTTCATTGGTCAATTTCCCGAGGCGCCATTTTTGGAGGATCGAGAAGGACGAAGAAGAAGGTGTAAGCAGCTGGCAAATGTGAAAAGTTAAGATGGTTTCACCACCCAGTGTCTTTAAGACTGTGATAAATGCAATGGCCAACGATGAAGGATTAGTGTACGTATATTTTTGTTAATGTTTTACGGTAACTAGTTGTAATATTTGGCAACAACAATTCTTCACTATCGGAGGCAACTTTTGTTCTGACGCCATTTTGAAAAGTTGGATACCTAAGTTTTAAATTGTTAAGTGTATATATTGCAGAGAGAAAGAGAGAGAGAGAGAAATTTGAGACAGTGATATAGCATAACTTAGATTATGGAGGCCCCAAAGGCACCGTGCATGTGCATGCTGTATGTTGTAAAATGGCAACGTTTCGCCTTTTATCATGTTTATTAAAATGTATGCTCCATATGTATGTTCTCTCTATATATATAAATGAATACTTTTCGGAATTAAAAAAAAAATATTTTTAACCCCGCTCAAATAATCCGGATGATAATAGTTACACCGAGCATGGTTTCGTAGTTAAATTCAGACTGTAGAACATCCGGTTTGAATACATGTGTTTTCTGACTTTTCGGATAGCCAACTCTTGTTTTTTGGAACTTACGACTTATGGACAGGACAGGTATAAATTAAATAGTTTTGGTTCAAAACTATGATAAAGCATCGATATTTACAAAAAGTGTCTTCAATCTCAGCTTATCCGATTATTCATGAAGGATATCCTCATCAGAACAGTCGGAATAGATTGTAGCGAATAGCATAACCCTTAAGGGTACTACTAAACAGAGTACGCTAGAGTACGATAGAGTACTTTAGAGTACGTAAGGAAATTTATGTTATTTAATGCAATTAAATTGTTTACTTATGTATGTACAACTTGATTAAACATTATTATAAACTTAAATTGCAATATTTGTTTCAAATATTTGTTTTTAGCGATATTTTGAGAAGAAACTAACATTCGTAATTCAATGCATTAAAGATTACTACCGGTAATACCCCAATCTCGAGAACTATTTTGTTTCAGACTCACTTACTGAAGATTTACATTTAAATTTTCAAATATTAAATTAATTGCATGTATAAGTATTTTGCACATTCACAATGAGACATTTCAACACGTTTAAGTTAAATTAGATCGGGATCAAACGATAAACCGTAACCTGAAATCAAATATTGAAATAACTCCTAAAATAAAAGAAAATATACAAATTCTATTTAAAATATATATTCAATATTTTAAAATAAAGTAGAAAAACATTCAAAAAGTAGTTTAATTGCATCAAATTATAAAATATTACTAGCGTACTCTAAAGTACTCTATCGTACTAGCGTACTCTGTTTAGTAGGACCGTAACCCTTAATCATATGCATGACGATGATATGGAGGGAAAATACTCGTACATAAAAAAAGTGAAATGTAGGTGAAAGCCTGTCCACTTTTCTGAAGAGATTAGGTTTGTTTTATTGTTTATTGAAGTAGTTTACTGCTCAAAAGATTTTTTTTTTGTAATGTCTAACCTGTTGAGATGAAGATGGAAAAAAAGAAAAGTCTAATAGTGAATTAATATTGATAGTATGTCAAGAAATGCAAATGAATCATCAGTTTGAATTATCAGTTTTTTCACAATTATTGACCTGAGTAGGTCAATGTATAGCGAATAATACATACTCTTTTCCATATCACATCCTAGCCCAAGACACCAATATTAGCCAGAGGGACACAGGCCCTAGGGCTGATATTGGTCGAAGGTCTGATACAGGATGTGACGTGGAAAAGGGTATGTTTCATTATGTTTATCACAAACTTCGTAATAAAATACAGAACGCTTCAAGTTGAGAAGATCAAGAAAATAAATAATCATGCACAATAAAACTACTTACATACATGTACATGGTATTGTCTTACTAAACAGATTTAGCTGTCATTAGGTCAAAATTGCAAATAATAACATGCTTCGTATATCTGTATGTGTAACTCTTGATGGCTTGAACTTCGATTTCTCAGAAGTTCTTGATCGCTTGAAGTGAGTCTCCAGTCCCCATTTTTTCCACTATATAACTAAGCAGATTTGCTCTTGATTTCTCGAACTCCTGATCTCTCGAAACCCTTGATCCCTCGAGGTCAAAATGCAGTCCCTCTGTGCTGTGAATTTTACCCTTGATACCTCGAAGTGGCTGTGTGTATACCAAGTTATAATGTTCAAACTTTTGCCATAACTGTATATCTGTGTGTCTGTCTGAGTGTCTGTTGTCAACTTAAACCTTCACCATAACTTAAGAACTATACGAGATAGTTGCTTCATATTTAGTATGCATATTCCACTAATGAAGTGCTTTCAAATGGCAACAAGGTCTTTAGAACAATGATTATGTGATCTTGACTGTGACCTGTATGCTAAACAAAATTGCTTTTTCGAACTTTGTTGCTGTGTTTCACAAGCGCATCTTGTTTTTAGCTCTACTGGTCAGAGACCAGAATAGCTTATGCGATAGTTATGCATCCGGCGTCCGTCCATCTGCCTGTCTGTCCATCTGTCTGCAAACACTACTCCTCCTTAAATTTTAGTCTGATTTCAATATAACTTGGCACACAAGTAGACTATACTAAGATACATAATTCTGTGCATCAGTTTTTCATAAGTACAAACCAGTAGAGCTACAGTCTCGACAGAGACTTCTGGTTATTTTTTTCTTCCATCCCGGTTGTTGCTAATTAGTGATGGAACGATTGTCACCGACAATCGATTGTCGGTCGTTAGAAGCTCTTCGATGCTATTAATCGATTTTAAATAAATGTCGCTGACATCGCTAACAAAAAATAAAATTGTCATACTTTAATTTTATTACCAAATCCAAGTGGAAAGAGCATAAAAGTAGTAATGAATGTTGAAAACATGGAAGGATTCCGGGTCTTGTTGATACTTTTACCACCATGAATTGATTAAATATGGGGTCAAACTAAAACCAGGAAACGTTGAAATTGTAAGGTTTTACTATACAAAGGAAAACATAATTAGTCTATCTTTAAATGTAATTTATAATCAGAAATACAAGTCTTACTTCTGGATAACTACTATTAAAACTTGCAATTTAAACTAATTAAAACTAATTTTAAGAAATAAATACATGTATTAAATGAAAGGTGGGACTAATATCAGTAAAATACCCATTGCATGGACTTTATGAAAAATAAATTCCAATTCTGTTTCAATAGTCCTATACCATGTCTACTGTTTAAAGAAAATAAAATATTATTTTCCACTTTTAAAAAAAGAAAATTCAATTAACATTTTTGAATATATTTACATGTATGTAAGTAAATGATTTTTTTTGTAAAAGTATGACAGAAATATAAATAAGTTTTAACTTTTGTACATTAATTTCATTAAAGTTCAAAATTTTGATTATAATCGATTATTAATCGATTATGCCCAGCCGATTATTTAGACCCATCACTATTGCTAATGCTATTACATAATTAGTTTAAATAAGAATGCAATATTAACTGGACATAATTTATCATTTCAGAGAGAAGAAAACTGTGTGACTTTAAAAGAAAACCAGTGAGATAAAATCACAGAAAATGTATGATGATTCAGGATGTGGTCATTTGGTAAGTGGTAATTCATTCATGATTCGTATGTATATGACAATTGCCTGAAAAAGAAAAAGATTCTAAATTTTATTTAAATACTGAACTGTGGTATGTTTATCAGCTGTGAGCTGCAAGAAGTTTTATGTAAAAACTAGGGCTGAAACAATTTGCCCCTCCATGTTATGTGTGTATTGCTATGATTGACGTCACATACAATCAGTTCTCTAATACATACACTTCAATAAAACTTTGTCGTCTCGAACCTGAATAGAACAGGAAGAAACTCTGAGATCTCTCCCAAAATTTGAATGAAAAAAAGGAAATGCTTATTAACTGATTTCTTGCTGGTCAGTATTTTGATTACTTAAAGGAAGCTTTCCTTTATTTCATAGATATTCAATGAAATTATTTGAAGTATTAAATTTTGGTAAATTTTATAATACTAAAAGGTTATATGGATGAAAAAACAGCATGCGTGTATGACAATAGGGCTTAAATTTTTAATGTCTCTTAATTTTTCAGTGACATTAAAACAGGAATTGTCATCACCAATACACAAATTTCACATTCCTAAGAGTTTTCTCCAATTGTCGGCGTATCGCTCATTTTTCCCACTTTGTCCTTTTTAAGTTACTTGTTGATATTTTCAATCTTCAAAAATATTGGACAATTACTGAGTAACTCTCTGTATCTGTATTGCCAGAGTATGGGGGCAACATGAAAATCATAATGAATATGTTCATACAGATTTTATTTCTAAGATATTGTCCCTTAAAGTTGATACGGTTAAAGAGGGAAAACAGCGTCTTAAGCCGGTTGACCCCGGATCGACCCTGCGAAGGGGAATAACTTTTGTAAATGTGAATGTCCTTTATGGTATATCATATAGATCTAAAACTGACTGAATTTTGATCAGCCAATTCATGAACATGATGAAATAAAATTTTTATAATGGTTCAAAAGTGTAACATATGTTTTGGGACACCCTGTACATTTGTGGTATCTCTCCCATTGCAGTTTATAAACTTGTTATTTATTTCTTAAATAAACTGAGCGTACATGCAATACCGGTATAAAATTACTCATAAGATACATTTATTTTTAAAGTAAACCATGATAAAATCACATGTGTCCAATGCAGCATATGATAAATCATTAACATACAAGTACATGTGTATATATACTGTAATACATATATATTGCATTATATTTAGGTCCTGTTCTGTGGATGCCCTAAGACAGTGTCTACCCATCACTCCATCTGATATCACTTGTTCTGAGCATGTTTCTCTACAGAGAGCCTGTGGATAGAGGATGAAGAGTGACCTTGGACTAATTTTCTAGGTCAAAGGTCAGTATCAAAATCTACTGTATATCTTTATCTAAAATCATAGTCCAGCTAGAGTATATTTCTCCCCTGGTGTAATCTAGCTTTTGTGCAATGGGGTGGAGGGTCTGCAATGATCTTCAACCAATTTCTAGGTCGAATATCAAAATTAAAAAAAAAATCTCTCCCTAATATTTTTGTTATTATAAAGAGTATGTTTTCTCTCAAACTAATCAAACTTAAAGCAGGGTTCTTAGTATGAGATACATGTAGTAATATATTCTCAATGACATAATAAGGCTGAAAACTTTATTTATATTATCAGGGACCAACCTAGACCAAAAATTTAGGGAGACTTCACTTCTCCCTCAGAGAAATTTAGGGAGAAGTTTTGAAATTTAGGGAGACTTCTTGGCGCGCGTCGCGCACATTAATCATTAATAAACGTTTTAAAAATAAAATTATTTCATTGTTTATATTTTATGAATAAATACATTTCAATAATTTTCTGTATTAACATCATACTAAAAATAATTAAAAAGAGAAAAATTAGTATAGTATAAAGTATAAAATTATCTGACCCCAAAAATTAAACAATATCATTGTATAAATTTCTTATTGATAAACTTGTTTATCAATTTTTTTTTTTTTTCATTTCTTGCATAGTATGCACAATTAACTTTAATATTCTCTCTTGTTATTTTATAATCAGGCTCTTTGCATAGTCATAATTTTTTTTAATTTTCACTTCAAAATTGAATTCATTTTCAATCTTCAATTCTTTTTCTAAAAAAGTTTTTATGTACTACTGCATGTAGTACTGCACGCCGATTGAACTACTTGACTGTGTGTATAGATTAGACGTGTAATTTCTTAGACAGTTAATAACTCTACAATATAACAGTAAAAATATGTCTGCATACACAGCATGAATTAATTATTTGACAATAAAAAGATCTAAAATCATCTCCAACATCTTTGGCATGACATCGATCATGTCGATAGCTGTCCAGCTGTTTTACGTCTTGTTGTTTACAACCTGTAACAATGGACTTTTACATACACGGAAGCGTAAAATCTAGAGGAGTTCCGACAGAGTATTCGATGACTTGGTCATTTGTAGCTAAACAGGTGCAAGCGTCCTGCTGTTTCGTTTATTTCAGCAGTAATAAAACAAGATTTATAAACTACTGACGATTCTACAATGTTTCTTATTAGATTTTTTTATGATTTTCAATAAAGGGCAGAGCTCCAGATAAGGTGCGTATTTGCGTAAATACGCATTGAATTTTACAAAATACGCATTGAAATTAAAATCTGTGCGTACAGATACGCATTAGAAGTCAAAAATACGCATTGAAGTTCAAAGTAATGCGTACTCTTTAGAATAAAACAACTACGACCTATCTAGTAACGTAAATCCAAGTTAGCTCGGTACTTTGGTTGTCCGTCATAAAAGACACACGCTTTAAAGCGTTTGAATGATTACGATAACTGTTAGTCATGGCGACCAATAAACCAGGCCGGTTTCGGAAAATAGATGTAGATCAGAATAAATCCTTGTTTGATTATTTTGAAAAGAAAGGCCGTGCAGCAGGCTCGTTTACTACTGATACAGCCAAGCTTGTGACCTCTATTTTAGAGGATATAATCACAGCAGTTGTAAATGAGAAGAAACAACATAGGGTTGAAAACGTTACGGAGAGAACAATTAGGTCCTGGAGGCGAAAGTATCCTTGGTTAATAGTTAAAGGGGAGGGAGATCAGAAGGTGCTGATATGTAAAATATGCAGCGATCAAAATGTGAAAACAGTATGGGCAAATCAAGGTTCAACTAATTTTCAGAAAACTGCATAGACATAATACATGTCAGATGTCTAGAACATGTAAAAGCTGAAAAATTAAGCTTGAATTGCCATGCAGAAAAATCAGAGGATGAGAATCAAGTAATTATCGAGGCTAGCAAATCTCTCTTTATAAGCAGAGATGATGATTTAAGTAAAATATTTGTCAGTGCTAAAATGGGAATTAAATTTACAAAATACTCTCTTGGTTTTTTGTCAAAAGCAAAATCTGCATTGATTTTAAAATCTGGGAGTAAATACACTTTGTGCTAAAAAATTATCTGGAGCTCTGAAGGGTTTGCAAATGCTAACTTATAAGGCGACTGAAAACTTCGCTTTCATGATAAATTACGGCGAAGTTTGGAGCCCAAAAGCGACTATTTCGCCTCAGTCGCCCCCTAGGTTGGTCCTTGATTATGTTATTTTTTTTTCACTTATCATAAAGCATTAAATATTAAAGAGATACATGAAATGCTGAAATCATATGTATCATGGTCATGGACAGTAATTATTGATATTGCTTTATTAAAGGACATTGACTGATCTTTCAGATTTCTAAGTTATATTCAAGCATTATAATTCTGACATCATATAATATAATTTTGTATGAATATTGCAGATCATAGGTGATGTGAAGAAAACCAGGAAACGGATGTTGAAAGAAGTACTTAATGACCCTTATGAATGGACTTAAATGTGAAAGACTGTTCCATTGTTTATCTAAGATATATGAATTTATTTCATATTTTGATATCATTGAAAAATTCAGTTACAGTTTTTGTACATCAAATGAATTATTAAACATATAAAATGGTAATGTTTTTTTCTTTTACATGTAATACATTTTTTTGATAGATTTTTAAAAGAATACGCATTATTTCACATTGCTTCCTTTAGAAAAGTTAGGGAATCTTGAAGTTTCCCAGTAATTTCCACCAGGAGTGGGATTCCAGATAATTCCACCAAGTTTCCGCCACACAGAAAGTGCTACACAAGTTCCTTATAGTTTCCTGAGTCAAGGAAACTTCAGGAATCATAAGGTTTCACGAGCTTCTATGAAGTTTCCCATAAAAGAAAACCTTAAGATTCCATCAAGTTTCCATTCCACGGAAACCACTACGCTTATATTCCATATGGTTTCCTGAGTTTAGGAAACTTTAGGAATCATGAGGTTTCCCGAGCTTCCATGTAGTTTCCCGTATAAGGAAACCTTAAGATTCCATCAAGTTTCCATTCCACGGAAACCACTACGCTCCGATTCCGTATGGTTTCCTGAGTCAAGGAAACTTTAGGAATTGTGAGGTTTCCCGAGCTTCCATGTAGTTTCCCGTAAAAGGAAACTTAAAGATTCCACCAAGTTTCCATTCCACGGAAACCCCCTACGCTCCGATTCCATCAAGTTTCCTGATTCTGGAAACCAGTGGAATCTTCAGGTTTCCCGTTACGGGAAACTACATGGATGTTCGGGAAACTTCAGGTTTACAGAGGTTTCCGTGGTTCGGGATACCTTATGGAATCGGAGCGTAGGGGGTTTCCGTGTCACGGAAACTTGGCGGAATAACCTAGCATCCGCCATGGAAACCACTGGGAAACATGATGTAAACTTGAGGTTTCCATGTGGTTTCCATAAAGTTTCCCATGATGGGAAACCACTTTTTTCACCCAGTGATGAATGTCAACTCAACAAGTAAGGTTCCTTTTTTTCTTCAAAAAGTAAAAATTCTGATGCATTGGGTGAGTGTTACTTTATACCTAATAAAAGATTTTTTTCCCCTCCATTTAAAACTGTATGGAACTGTTTATATAATTAAATCAAACTTATTTCTTTCATGTCATAGTACCCATCATTCATAATATGTACAATCCCAATAGATGAATTCATATTTCTTTCTTTAAATTTGTATTAAAACATTAAAATATTTTGAGGGAAAACTCTCTGTTCATGTTAATTTACGGTGTATACCTTCTATCATTTGACATTTACTTTTTGATTGCCTAAATCAGATCTATCCATACATAGAAAGAACAGGAATACAGTGAATTTATTTTTTAAAAAGGGAATTATTATTATTAAAAAATTTAAAAGTTTTAAAAGAGTTATAAGTTTTAAAAAATTTATAAGTTTTAAAAGAGTTATAAGTTTTAAAAAATTTATAAGTTTTAAAAAATTTATAAGTTTTAAAAATTATAAGTTTTTAAAAGTGACCTGGTGTTATAAACTTGAGAGACACACATTTCGTTTCTCTTATTTACCGACTGTAAAGTAAGCATCTTTTCTAAACAATTGGGTGGCCGTGAGAACGGCCGTTTGGTCGATTTTTTTTAGACAGGGTTTACTCCCTGTGTCCCCTGCCTCGTCCTCGTCCCCGGAACTCAGGGCGGTCTGTAAGGGGGGTCCTGGCTGAGGGTGACGTCCTGAGTGGCCGTGGTGCCACTAACCCGATCCTGCGGGGTGCCCGGACGCCCACATTCCTTGCCAAAGGTGGTCTGGGGTCTCGCCTCCGGCAGAGGGGACAGCAGCCTAAGGGTGGGGCCTGGAGGACCAGCACCTCCGAGCACCGGTAACAGGCGGGCCTGTTCCGGCACTCACAGCAAACGAAGTTGGAGGGCTGATCCTCCTGCAGACAGATGGAACACCAGATCCGGGCCTCCGGTAGCTGGATCCCCCAGACTGGAACGGGTCCCCTCTGAGATGGTACTGGGGGTGATGGTGGTTCCTCCGGTGCCCAGTCGTCCGTCACGGGGGGCTCCCAGTCTGAATCACTGTCCTCTCCCTGCTGCTGACTCGGGGACCAAGTCGGTGATGGAGGTCGACGAGGGGGGGACGGGCTCCTTAGACTTGCAGCTGGCGGACTGGCAGGACCCAGGGTCGCAATGGACAATCTGCTCAGCTCCCGGCCCGTGGTGACATCTCTCACGATCCACACCGCTTCCAAGTAAATATCAGCCATGGTGAAATACCTGGGGAAATCTCCTCCAGAAGCCATTGTAAAACGTAGGTGCTGCTACTAACAAATGACGCCGACTACTGGAGAGCGTCTGTATTTATGCACAAAGCACGGACGGAAAAGAGAGCACCTCGATGGCGAGAGCCGAAATCTCATGGCGAACCGAAATTGTGTGTGTTTTGTACTTTGGGACCTATACCTTTTCATGGATTATTTAGTAGGTGTTCATAGTAGGATTCCATAATGATACAGGTCTAAACAAGATAAGTTTCCTGCTTCTTTTCATACTACAATTAATACATGACATGCATCCGTCGTGGAGAAAAGAGCAAAAAACCTCGAAGCGACGAGGTGAAATCCAGTGACCCGAGTGTATAAAATAAGCCTTTTCAGTCTTTTTAGAGGGTGAGACTGGAAAAACTCATGTGGGTTAGGGAGAAGGGACTTAGGGAAGAGTGCCGATATAGTTTTTATTTCAAAAGAATCATGATCGGGGTAAAAAACAAGCTCAAATAGGTTTAGCTATAAACACAATGGGGGGTCAGAGGTCACGGATTTTCAGAAAATCATACTATGAGATACATAAGGATTCTTGGAATCTACGCTTTATCTGATTGATATTTTAAGAAAAATAAAATGTTATGAGATTCAAAACAATTCGTATTTACTTTTTAGATCCTTTACAAGTCTTGATCGTTTGTTTTTTACCAAAATCGAACACTGTACTGACACTGGGGTGTAAACAACGTAGGACCTACACATTCCCTGATTTTTTAAGTCACCCGATGTTTTATGAAAGAAAATTTGACATGAAAAGATTCGTACTGCTTTGAAAATCATTCGTATTTACTTTTTAGATCATGATCCACTCTAAATTTTTTATGTTTGATTAAAAACCATACACACACTGCGCGTCTCAAAAAGAATTCAAGAATATTATAAGTTTATTTCATACAGAAATACCTTCAATGTATAGACTGAATTTACTTATAGATTAACCCCATTACCTAATTTGAGTATTCTCAAATTATTGATTACAGGAACAAACAAATTTAAGACAAAATCACAATATATGCTGAATACCCTCCAACAAATTTTAGACAAAATCACAATATATGCTGAATACCCTGAAATGAAATGGTTACATATGTAAGATGTGTAACACATCATGTACAACTTTTAAAGTCTACAAGATTTTAAGTTAACCCTATTATACAATAAGACTACTTTTTCAAAGTTATGAAAAATTCTTTACAAAAATATAAATACAAAAGATAAATGTTACAGTTTTTCAAAACATAGATTTTGCTACACTAACAGGATATTCTGTATGACTAACTTTTCATATCAGATCAGTTATCATATTTTAACAGTGATGATTTTTTTCTGCAAGCAATGAAAAAACACTACAATACAAATATATTATTGTTCAATTTTAGGTCTGCATAAACAGATGATTAACAGAGTATTAATAGCTGGCCATACCAAGTTTGAACCTGACCACCCCCCATTTTGGAGTATAGAAGGTAAATTGGAGAAAGTTAAATAAAGGAATTTTAGCAGAGGGGAAATTTATTATATCAGAGGTAAATTTATAGATGGGGATAATGAATTGGTATTTTCATGTTGTGCAATCATCCTTTCACCATTTTGAATTTTTTAAAATATTTGTTTGAAAGAAAACATTTTTCTTTTTTTCCAGATAGCACATTCTGTTCATCAGTCAAGGAAACATATACACAGCCTTCTACATATTGTCCAGGACCAGAAGAAGCCAGTGGTGTTTTATAATTGAAAACCTCAGTGACATCTCTTTCAGAATTTTTTCTAGACTTTTGAAATTTTTAACTTAAAAATCAAAACATATATATCACAGATTAAAATTGTTAAGCTGTACAAAAGTTATCATTCCAGGAAATTTGTAAAAATGTTGATGCATCTATACTCACATTAAAAACATTTTAATTGTTTGATATTTTTTTTTTGAGGGGATGAGACATTAGTGAAGGAAAATTATTTATTAGTGAAGGGAAATTATTTATTTTAACTCTACCAAATCATATATCTTTTTAAAAAATGTTGCATGTTTTGATTTTCATGTTCAACTTTGTCTTTTTTATGAGAAAAACAACAACAACAACAACAAAACATGAAGTGGAAAAAAAAAACCTTGCAGGAAAAACAGTTGGGATATGATGAGAGTTCATACTCATGCAGATTTTATTTTATAGTATTACCAAGAATTGAGAAAAAAGTAAGAAGATAAATGACAATAAAGAAAACAGAGAAATAATTCCATGAATTTTTTTAAAAACCTGAATAAATCCATTTGATTTTTTGTCTGTTAACAAAAACACCCTTTTTGAAAAGTCGATTATCCCCCTTTAACCATAGATTATTTTTCAAAACACAAAACAGGAGTTGGGTATTCAGTATAGAATGGGGAGATATATAAAATGTAAATAAATGTAATGATTTAAATGGCATTTTTAAGGTATAGTGATCAATGGTATCCCTCATCTTTTCTGTATTGTTAAAAATGAAATATGATTTTTTAACTTTTAGACAAATTAAAGTTACATGTTATCTAAAATCACATTTAAACTTTGCTAGACAAAAAAGAAAACTACCAGGAATTTTTTTTCTTTTTTTAAAAAAAAAAGGAGTTTGTACCTACAAGTAATAGTTATCTACCTCATTGCTTTCAATGAGTTATGGAGTTTGAGAAAAACATGTTTTTCTGAAGAAAAAAAATTAGAGAAAGTGAAATTTTTTTCTTTTTACAACAGAAATTAAAAGACTTATTTAATATCTGAAACTGTGTTATGACCATGTTTTTGGGACTTAAAATAC